GAGAGAGAGAGGCAGCAAGTGTTCCAGATTACCACGGTCCTGCGTGTGAGCTGATGCCTGATATGACACTAGATAATTCCATTATCGCCTCAAGCCCCTCACCAATTCGGTAAACGTGTGCTCAGACCGTGCAATCTTTCCTTGGGAGCTATCAGATTCCCATCCCAGTACACAGCAGCAGGTGAAATTCACACTCAGTAAACACAAACCCAGAATTAAAAACTCGACCCAGAGAGAGAGAGACCACGATAACTATTACCGATTCCGGGAAAACCCATCGGGGGAGTGGGGAGGGCATTAATGCCCTTCAGGGTGGGGAAATCGGCCAGCCTTACCTTGGCCTGGCCTACACATGACTCCAGACCCACAGTCCAGCGCCGCTTGCTCTGAACTGCCCCTCGGAAATAGCCAAGGGACACATTTGAAGGCAACGACAAATGGCCAGTGATGTGGGCCTTGTCTGTGATGCCCCCCTCCCACTGAAAATAAAGCCCCACCCCCACCCCTGACCGTGCCTTTACCTGTAAAGTGAAGACCTCTTCGTCCATCGGCACCTTCTTCTTCTTGGGCTGAGGGGATGTGGTCCCCTGGGAAACCTCCACGATGGCTGGAGAGGGGTTGGAGAGAGAGAGAGAAGGTAAGAACAACGAGGTTCAGGGTCACTCCTGCCTCCCCCACAGTGTTTTTACTCACAGCGTTTGGTGGCAGTGCTGCCAGATTTCACAGCCACGTTCTCCTGCTGTCTCTTCAGATTCTCCTCCTCGCTTTTCCGATCGCGGCCGGGACAGGCGCACACTCGCACCTCGAAACACCTTCGGCCGAGCAGCTGCCCACTGCACGCACGCGCACAGACACACACACACACACAGAGAGAGAGGGCACAAGGAAACCCAGTCAGACTCAGGAGCAGAGCGAGTGAGAAAGCAGAGATTTCATATCTACCCGAGGGTGTAAGCAGGCCCTAACTCCCTCAGCGCTGACCCTCCGACAGTGCCCACTCCCTCAGCGCTG